TGTGTTTGCATTTCTCTGATGTGAAGTGAGGTTGTTAGTTCATTTTTTAACATTTTTTAACATTTTAAACAATATGATAATCAAATAATAATAATCATCTGCCAAATTGCCTATTACTGCTTTTATTATACCACTTAAGTGGTGTAGGCAGGATGGTCTTTGAGCCTGAAGATTTACAGCTGCATGGCTAGTGCTGTCGCCACAACCTGTGCAGGTGAGGATTTTGTATTTTGCCTCCGAAAGAAATAATCCCCAGCCTTACTGAGGATTTTAACCTGCGTCTCCCATTTGAGAGCCCAGCATTCTAACCACTTGGCCAGCTGCTCTTCTAACCACTTGGCCAGCTGCTCTTCTAACCACTTGGCCAGCCGCTCTTCTAACCACTTGGCCAGCCACTCCTCTAACCACTTGGCCAGCCACTCCTCTAACCACTTGGCCAGCCGCTCTTCTAACCACTTGGCCTGCCACTCTTCTAACCACTTGGCCAGCCGCTCTTCTAACCACTTGGCCAGCCGCTCTTCTAACCAGTTGGCCAGCTGCTCTTCTAACCACTTGGCCAGCCGCTCCTCAAAATTATCATACAATTGAATGTAAATTAAAGAGACTTTCAGTTATTGGTAAATTCAAGCTCTGATAAAGGACAAATGTAAAGTGTACTTGATGCAAGCAAACACAGATCACCAGGTCAGCTTACATAAGTGGGAAACAATTTTAATTGAAAGACCTGGATACAGAACTGGACTGACTGGACAGGCCCTAGGCATACAATCATGAAGTCTATCACATCTGACCATCAACGGGGAAGGGAGCTGATCAGACAGTCAACAGGTGACCCAATGACACCCAGTGTTACAGCTTAATGATAATAAACCTCTCTCAACATGTCATCGTTTACAAACTTCAACTACTAACATAGTTATTTGTTGAAGAAGTATTCTCTTTGAATCATTAACATTCCCTGGTCACTGTGATGTATGGTATATCTATGGTGTACATCGCTGTCTGTACTCCTTTCTTTCTTCTAGTCATCATTGTTTTTCTTCTTTCTTTTGTCTTACAGCTTATGTTGTAAAGCATCAGAGAGAGGAGTTGGATGTAGTTTTCTCTCTTTTACTGGTTAAACATCTTGTGCTAACATCATACCATGCTTCTATAACGTCTCTGTTAATGGTTAAATAGCTTTTACTAATATCATACCATGTTTCTATAGTCTCTCTGTTAATGGTTAAATAGCTTTTACTAATATCATACCATGTTTCTATAGTCTCTCTGTTAATGGTTAAATAGCTTTTACTAATGACATACCATGTTTCTATAGTGTCTTTGTTAATGGTTAAATAGCTTTTACTAATGACATACCATGTTTCTATAGTGTCTCTTCTACTGGTTATATATCTTGTATTAATATCATATTATCTTTCTATAGTGTCTCTGTTAATGGTTAAATAGCTTTTACTAATGACATACCATGTTTCTATAGTGTCTCTTCTACTGGTTAAATATCTTGTACTAATATCATATTATGTTTCTATAGTGTCTCTTCTACTGGTTAAATTTCTTTTAGTAATATCATATTATGTTTCTATAGTGTCTCTTCTACTGGTTAAATTTCTTTTAGTAATATCATATTATGTTTCTATAGTGTCTCTTCTACTGGTTAAATATCTTGTACTAATATCATATTATGTTTCTACAGTTTCTCTTTTACTGATTAAATATCTTGTACTAACATCATACCATGTTTCTATAGTGTCTCCTTTACTGGTTAAATATCTTGTACTAATATCATACCATGTTTCTACAGTTTCTATTTTACTGGTTAAATATCTTGTACTAATATCATATTATGTTTCTACAGTTTCTCTTTTACTGGTTAAATATCTTGTACTAATATCATATTATGTTTCTACAGTTTCTCTTTTACTGGTTAAATATCTTGTACTAATATCATATTATGTTTCTACAGTTTCTCTTTTACTGGTTAAATAGCTTGTACTAACGTCATACTATGTTTCTACAGTGTCTCTTTTACTCCCTCCATCCATCTCTTTCTTTGTCAGCCTTTTACCTTGTAGCTTGCTGATCTCTTGTAGTGCATTCTAGCTGCTGGCTGATTTTGTTAAATTCTGACCAGATGACCAAATCGTTTGAATTCTTTGATATTCTATGAAATCATTCAACTGTACTGTGCCTATCATTGTTCTTAGTTCTTCACTAGTGAGTCGTCTCTTCTTTTGTGTTCTGATGTCACCTCCCCCCCCCCTTACCCCCACCCCCCTCCCCCCAAGCTGACATGTAAACTACAACAGAGAACATACAGACTCATCCGCCTGTCCACCGTCCTCCTCCTCCCCATCATCATCAGTGCATGTCTGTGGGTGCCGGACTGCTGTGGCAGGCGCTGTGTGTGCACCACCGACTGTCTGCAGTCGTGCCCTCTTCTTCTTGGAGACAGGAATCCTGGATGAAGACACCGGCTGAAGTGGCTGCTGGCTCTTCCTTCTCCTGGGACAGACAAGATGCATTCCAGGTTTAGTCAACTTATTTGTTTTTGACATTTGTTTGATATGGTCCTCCAAAATACAGGCTTGCCAGAGTGCCAGTGTCTGTATCGTTCTCTAAAAGACTCACAATATAACAAATGTGCCTAACCTGTCTCAGGATATAACAAATGTGCCTAACCTGTCTCATGATATAACAAATGTGCCTAACCAGTCTCAGGATATAACAAATGTGCCTAACATGTCTCAGGATATAACAAATGTGCCTAACCTGTCTCAGGATGTAACAAATGTGCCTAACCTGTCTCATGATATAAAAAATGTGCCTAACCTGTCTCAGGATATAACAAATGTGCCTAACCTGTCTCATGATATAACAAATGTACTTAAACCAGTCACAGGATATAATAAATGTACTTAAATCCGTCACAGGATACAATAAATGTACTTAAACCAGTCACAGGATATAATAAATGTACTTAAACCTGTCACAGGATACAACAAATGTACTTAAACCAGTCACAGGGTATAACAAATGTACTTAAACCAGTCACATGATATAACAAATGTACTTAAACCAGTCACATGATATAACAAATGTACTTAAACCAGTCACAGGGTATAACAAATGTACTTAAACCAGTCACAGGATACAACAAATGTACTTAAAAGAGTCACAGGATATATTAAATGTACTTAAACCAGTCACATGATATAACAAATGTACTTAAACCAGTCACAGGATACAACAAATGTACTTAAAAGAGTCACAGGATATATTAAATGTACTTAAACCAGTCACATGATATAACAAATGTACTTAAACCAGTCACAGGGTATAACAAATGTACTTAAACCAGTCACAGGGTATAACAAATGTACTTAAACCAGTCACATGGTATAACAAATGTATTTAAACCAGTCACAGGATACAACAAATGTACTTAAACCAGTCACAGGATACAACAAATGTACTTAAACCAGTCACAGGATACAACAAATGTACCTAAACCAGTCACAGGATACAACAAATGTACTTAAACCAGTCACAGGATATAACAAATGTACTTAAACCAGTCACAGGGTATAACAAATGTACTTAAACCAGTCACAGGGTATAACAAATGTACTTAAACCAGTCACAGGGTATAACAAATGTACTTAAACCAGTCACAGGATACAACAAATGTACTTAAACCAGTCACAGGATACAACAAATATACTTAAACCAGTCACAGGGTATAACAAATGTACTTAAACCAGTCACATGATATAACAAATGTACTTAAACCAGTCACAGGATATAACAAATGTACTTAAACCAGTCACAGGATATATCAAATGTACTTAAACCAGTCACAGGATATATCAAATGTACTTAAACCAGTCACAGGATATAACAAATGTATTTAAACCAGTCTTATGCCTTCAGAAAATGTGTAACCATGGAAATGAGGTGTCTGAGAAAGACTGTAGGAGTTATCAGAAGAGATAAAATCAGGAATTAGGTCATACGAGATAAAGCTTGCATAGAACCAATGCTAAATTACATACAAAGACAGAAAATCAAATGGTATGCTGACCTGGAGAGAATGCCTTCTGATGCTATGCTATACAAGGCATATACCAAAAGAGAAGGATGTAGAAAAAGAGGTAGACCAAGAACAAGATGGGAAGATAACATCAGAGAAACTCTACAGCACTACAATGTGTCTATGGTCAAAGCAGGCAGAAGAGCACGAAGCAGCATATTAAATCTCCCTCGACACACAAAGCTGTAAGAGGACGTTAAAAAGAAGAAGATGATTTAAAGCAGTCTGGGGATACAAATATGTGAAGGGAAACATGTCAAAACTGAACTCACCTGTGTGTGGAGGGAATATGTCATAACTGAACTCACCTGTGTGTGGAGGGAAACATGTCAAAAATGTCAAAACTGAACTCACCTGTGTGTGGAGGGAATATGTCATAACTAAACTCACCTGTGTGTGGAGGGAAACATGTCAAAACTGAACTCACCTGTGTGTGGAGGAAATGTGTCAAAACTGAACTCACCTGTGTGTGAAGGGAAACATGTCAAAACTGAACTCACCTGTGTGTGGAGGGAAACATGTCAAAACTGAACTCACCTGTGTGTGAAGGGAAACATGTCAAAACTGAACTCACCTGTGTGTGGAGGGAAACATGTCAAAACTGAACTCACCTGTGTGTGGAGGGAATATGTCAAAACTGAACTCACCTGTGTGTGAAGGGAAACATGTCAAAACTGAACTCACCTGTGTGTGGAGGGAATATGTCAAAACTGAACTCACCTGTGTGTGAAGGGAAACATGTCAAAACTGAACTCACCTGTGTGTGGAGGGAATATGTCATAACTGAACTCACCTGTGTGTGGAGGAAATGTGTCAAAACTGAACTCACCTGTGTGTGGAGGAAATGTGTCAAAACTGAACTCACCTGTGTGTGGAGGAAATGTGTCAAAACTGAACTCACCTGTGTGTGGAGGAAATGTGTCAAAACTGAACTTACCTGTGTGTGGAAGGAAACATGTCATAACTGAACTCACCTGTGTGTGGAGGGAAACATGTCAAAACTGAACTCACCTGTGTGTGGAGGAAATGTGTCAAAACTGAACTCACCTGTGTGTGGAGGAAATGTGTCATAACTGAACTCACCCGTGTGTGGAGGGAATATGTCATAACTGAACTCACCTGTGTGTGGAGGGAAACATGTCAAAACTGAACTCACCTGTGTGTGGAGGGAATATGTCATAACTGAACTCACCTGTGTGTGGAGGGAAACATGTCAAAACTGAACTCACCTGTGTGTGGAGGGAATATGTCATAACTGAACTCACCTGTGTGTGGAGGGAAACATGTCAAAACTGAACTCACCTGTGTGTGGAGGGAAACATGTCAAAACTGAACTCACCTGTGTGTGGAGGGAAACATGTCAAAACTGAACTCACCTGTGTGTGGAGGAAATGTGTCATAACTGAACTCACCTGTGTGTGGAGGAAATGTGTCATATTTAAACTCACCTGTGTGTGGAGGAAATATGTCATATTTGAACTCGCCTGTGTGTACAGAAGCATGTCATATTTGAACTCACCTGTGTATATAGAAGCATGTCATATTTGAACCCACCTGTGTGTGGGGGAAACATGTCATAACTGAGCTCACCTGTGAGTATGGAAGCATGTCATATCTGAACCCACCTGTGTGTGGAGGAAATGTGTCATATCTAAACTCACCTGTGTGTATGTAGACATGTCATATATGAACTCATGTGTGGAAACATGTCACATCTGAACTCACCTATGTGTGTCAAAACATGTCACATATAAACTCATTTGTGTGTGTGTGTGTGTGGAAACATGTGACACCTGAACTCATCTGTGTACTGGAAACATGTCACACATGAGCTCACCTCTGTGTGTTAGTGTGCATGCATAACAAACAAGTCATACCTGAACTTACTTTAGTGTGTGTGTGTGCGCGCATGCACACACTTATGTGTGTGTGAATGCACACACTTATGTATGTGTGCATGCACACACACACACACACATGCACACATGTAACTTCTTAACTCTTTGAGTCCCAGGGCACGCATCATATGTTCATAGGTTCCTACGTAGAAGCCCAATGAATGCATGAAACATCAATTTTACTCTCTCTTTACTACCTATTAGGCCTGTGATGCTAAACCCCCTGGGACTCAAAGAGTTAACTCACCTGTGTTTGGAAACATTTCACGCCTGAACTCACCTGTCTGTGTGTGTGTGGAAACATATCACATCTGAACTTATCTGTGTGTGGAAACATTTCACATCTAAACTTATCAGTGTGTGGCAACATGTCACATCAGAACTTACCTGTGTGTAGAAACATGTCACACTAGAACTTACCTGTGTGTAGAAACATGTCACACCTGAATTTACAGGTGTGTGTGTGTGTGTGTGTGTGTGTGTGTGTGTGTGTGGAAACATGTCGCACCTGAACTTATCTCTCTCTCTCTCTCTCTCTCTCTCTCTCTCTCTCTCTCTCTCTCTCTCTCTCTCTCTCTCTCTCTCTCTCTCTCTCTCTCTCTCTCTCTCTCTTTCTGTCTGGTGTGTGATGTGTGAGGTGTGTGGGGTGTGTGTGTGTGTGGTTTGTGTGCATGCATGCGTGCATGCATTAGTGCGTGTGCATGCATGTGGGAGGGGGGGACATGTCACACCTGAACTTACCTGTCTGGTTTCTTCCTATGATGTATCCTCCTCCTACTTGCATGCTTGGGTGGAGGCGGGTAGTATACAGGAAAGGGGGCCCCATAAACCACTGATGGAGGCAGGTGTGAAGGGGTCTGGGGGTGAGGCTTGGGTTTGTAATGTTTGCGTGGTTTCTTCAGATGGCCTGACTTTGCATGACCACCTGTAGGTTTGTGCCTACCATCTCTCTTATCGCTGCTGTCATCTGCATAATCCTCCTCCTCATCGTCAGTCTCCTCTCCCCAGCTGTCATAATCTGCAACCTGCCTGTAATCAAAAAAACATCTCTTCTGATATCAACACATATTTCTTCATTCCCTATTCACGTTCGTGTGTATCCATGCATACTGTTATCCATAGTTAGGAAAGTGACCCACAACCTAGTACTGTTAGAATCAGTATTCTCTACACATATCTGTTCTACACATATCTGTTTTACACACATCTATTCTGCACACATCTGTTCTACAAACATCTGGTCTACACACATCTGTTCTACAAACATCTGGTCTACACACATCTGTTCTACTAATATATGTTCTACACACATCTATTCTACTATGTTCTACACACATCTGGTCTACACACATCTGTTCTACAAACATCTGGTCTACACACATCTGTTCTACTAATATATGTTCTACACACATATTTGGTCTACATACATCTGGTCTACATACAAGTGGTCTACATACATCTGGTCTACATACAAGTGGTCTACATACATCTGGTCTACATACAAGTGGTCTACATACATCTGGTCTACACACATCTGGTCTACACACATCTGGTCTACATACAAGTGGTCTACATACATCTGGTCTACACACATCTGGTCTACAAACATCTGGTCTACACACATCTGGTCTACATACAAGTGGTCTATACACATCTGGTCTACACACATCTGGTCTACATACAAGAGGTCTATACACATCTGGTCTACATACAAGTGGTCTATACACATCTGGTCTACATACAAGTGGTCTATACACATCTGGTCTACATACAAGTGGTCTATACACATCTGGTCTACATACAAGTGGTCTATACACATCTGGTCTACATACAAGTGGTCTATACGCATCTGGTCTACACACATCTGGTCTACATACATCTGGTCTACACACATCTGGTCTACACACATCTGGTCTACATACATCTGGTCTACATACAGGTGGTCTATACACATCTGGTCTACGCACATCTGGTCTACATACATCTGGTCTACACACATCTGGTCTACGCATATCTGTTCTAAACAAATCGGTTCTACAAATCTGGTCTACATATACCTGTTTTACACATATCTGTTCTACACATATTTGGTCTAAACACATCTGGTCTACATATAACTGGTCTATACACATCTGGTCTACACACATCTGATCTACACACATCTGTTCTACACATATTTTTTCTAAACTCATTTGGTCTACACATATCGTGTCTACATACATCTGGTTTTCACACACCCGGTTTACACACATCTGGTCTACACACATCTGGTCTACACACATCTGGTCTACACAGATCTGAATGCTGTCAAGCAATCATCATTTGTATAAGATGTCTATAACTGAAGTGTTTATATTTTAGGTATCTATATGTGCTGTGTCTATATGTGAGGTGCCAATATGTGAGGTGTCTATAAGTGAAGTGTTTATGTACGGGGTATTTTTATGGAAGGTGTCTATATGTGAGGTGTCTGTATGGGAGGTGTCTATATGTTAGGTGACTTTATGTGCTGCTATATGTTCTGTCTCTATACTTGAGATGTCTATGAGGTGTTATATGTGAGATGTATATATATATATATATATATATATATATATATATATATATATATATATATATATATATATATATATATATATATATATATATATATATATATATATATATATATATATATATATATATATATATATATATATATATATATATAATATATATATATATATATATATATATATATATATATATATATATATATATATATATATATATATATATATATATATATATATATACGAGAGATGTCTATGAGGTGTTATGTGTGAGATGTATATATATATATATATATATATATATATATATATATATATATATATATATATATATATATATATATATATATACGAGAGATGTCTATATAGAAAGTGATTCAGACGGTAAATATTACCCACGGCAGCTGACTGGTCAGCTGTTTTTTTCTGATTAGGTAAATCTAAAAGAACCCATTTCATTTGAGAAGGATGTGATGGTCGCCAAGATTGATATCACTAGGACTGTTTCGGACGGTACTATACTCACACTATGGTTAAGCTGCACTAAAATCATTGCAGCTACAGTCTGTATATAACAACAAAGTTAATATTTTGTGTATATAGGAATGACTATAGATCCAATTTTCTGCCATTTTTTCTTTGAAATGTTGTTCAGCGTTCTGTGAGAACCTGGATCCTCTGAGTGAGAAACTGATGTGGACGCGTATCTAACTTTTGAATTTGTTAGGAAATTGAACAAACTTTAGTGTTTTTCTCAAATCTGAATATATTCACTGCTCTTGTGCTTGCAAAACCAAGGTAAGTAAAGATTTTTGGGATAAAATTTTGTCTTTATAAACATTAAACCTGATTAATGATTTTTTCCTACTAAATATAACACAACAAAACAAAAGCATATCTTCAGATTCAAAATGTACATTCATTCCTCTTTAAAAAATATATATTTTTAGAGGGATTAGAAATAAATTACATTCTCAACTGCTGTTTTTTTTTTTTTTTTTTTACACCACTCCCTCTGCCATTCTTGTAAAGAAAAATTATTGTGAGCCAAATCTGTTAAAATTCATAGGCCTGAAAGAGTTAATAGGAAGAAAAATGCACATGCTTCAAATGATCTAGAATTGTCTAGAAAATGCCTGATCTGGGTCACTTACTTGACAAATGCCTGCTTTGGTTTCACAGGGGGCACCACACGGAACTTGGTGGGACTGCTGGCCAGGGACTTTTTGTCTCGATCATCTGGGAGTTTCAACCTGGCAACAAACATGCCATTATGTAACAGTGAGAGATAGTTAATACACTGGTGTGTGCGATAGTAAGAAACGGTTAAATACACTTGTGTGTGTGTGTGTGTGCGTGCGTGCGTGCATGTGAGTGTGTGTGTGTGTGTGATATTGAGAAATTGTTAAATTCACTTGTGTGTGTGACAGCAAGAAATGGTTAAATACACTGTGTGTGTGTCTTAAACAGAAATGGTTAAATACACTGGTGTCTGTCATAGTGAGAAATGGTTAAATACTCTGGTGTGTGTGTGTGTGTGTGTGCGTGCGTGTGTGCATGTGTGTGTGTGTGTTTGTGTCATAATCAGAAATGGTTAACACACTGGTGTATGTATCATAGTGAGTAATGGTTAAATACATTTGTGTGTGTGTTATAGTTAGAAATTGTCAAAAATACAGCTGTGATAGTGAGGAAAAGTTAAATAGTGAGAAATAGTTAAATACACCTGTCATAGTGAGAAAGGGTTAAATACATTAGAGATAGTGAGAAATTGTTAAATACACATCTAATAGGGAGAAATTGTTAAACAGACTTGTATGTGACAGTGATAAATGGTTAAATACACATCTGATAGGGAGAAATAGTTAAATACACTTGTGTCTGTGAGAAACAGTTAAAAACACTTATATGTGATAGTGAAAAATGGTTAAATGCACTTGTTTGTGATAGTGAAAAAATGTTTAATGCACATATGATAGTCAGAAATGGTTAAAGGCAAATGTGTTATTGAGAAATAGTTAAATACACTTGTATGACAGTGAGAAATGGTTAAATTTGTGTGACAGTGAGAAATGGTTAAACATACTTGTATATGAGTGAGAAATAGTTAAATACACTTGAATGTAATAGTGAGAAATAATTAAATATACTTGTGTATGATAGTCAGAAATGGTTTAATACACCTGTGATTGTGAGAAACGGTTAAATACACTTGTATGTGATAGTGAGAAACAGTTAAAGACATTTGTATGTGATAGTGCAAAATGGTTAAATACACTTGTAGTGGTTGTGAGAAATGGTTAAATACACTTGTATGCGATAGTGAGAAATGGTTAAATACACCTGTATGTGACAGTGAGAAATGGTCAAATGCACTTTTATATAACGAAGAAAAATTGAATAATATACTTGTGATAGTGAGAAATGGTTAAATACACAGGTGATAGTGTGAAATGATTAAAAACACAGGTGATAGAACGAAATATTTAAATACACTAGGGACAAATGGTTAAATGCACTTATGAAAGTGAGAAAAGGTTAAATGCATTTGTAACAGGAGAAATGGTTAAATACACTTGTATGTAATTGTGAAAAATGGTTAAATTCACATAATATGTGATACTGAGAAATTGTTAAATACACCTGTGATAGTGAAAAACGGTTAAGTAAACTTGTATGTGACGGTTATAAATGAATAAATACAGCTATGATAGTGAGAAATGTTTAAAAACACTTGTAGGCCTATATGATAGTGAGAAATGGTTTAATACACATTACTTGTGATAGTGAGAAATGGTTTAATACACATTACATGTGATAGTGAGAAATGGTTTAATACACATTACATGTGATAGTGAGAAATGATTTAATACACATTACATGTGATAGTGAGAAATGATTTAATACACATTACATGTGATAGTGAGAAATGATTTAATACACATTACATGTGATAGTGAGAAATGATTTAATACACATTACATGTGATAGTGAGAAATGATTTGTTGTTGTTGTTGTTGTTATCGATCCAGCGGCGCATGAGCTTTCGCCCTTTGGCCCAATGCCATGTAGTGGAATTTGCATGTTTTCACAAGCTGTTCTTTTCCTCCGTACAAGATGTTCCACTTGTCTGGTCTCGGAGGGAGTAGCGTTCTTCTTGTCTCACTGAGTTTTGGGCACTCAAAGAGATGGTGTTCAACAGTTTCGTAGGGGTAGTTACATAGCTGGCACTCTGGGGAGTGTTGTGGCTGTATTCTGTTTAGGTGTCCATTGAGTGGAGTATGTTGCGTTCTAAGTCTGAAGATGGTGGCCTGGTCCCTTCTTGTTAAATGGTTAATGCTGTCATTAGGATCAGGGCCAGACATATGTCTATAAACCTCTCTTCCAGTGTCTCCCATGGCCCATCTGTTCAACCAAGTCTCTTTGTTTATAGCTCTTATCAGTGTTTTTGCTGTCTGGAGGGTTGTCGCTGTAGGTGGTTGTTCTTGTGTTGCTCCTTTCTTTGCCAATCTGTCAGCTCTGTCATTACCTGATGTGCCGGAGTGACCTGGAATCCACTGCATCACTATTCTGATGTTGTATGAGGTAATAAGCTGATCGGCATCCAGGATTATCTTGGCTATGTCAGTTCTGCAGCGTTCATTGCCCTCCAGAGCTTGAAGGGCAGACATTGAATCTGTAAAGATGACAATATTTTGGACCTTTGAGGGGTAAACATCCATTACAGTCTTTAGGTGGTATACTGCTGTTTCCAGTGCAATTATTTCAGCTTCATAGTTTGAACAGAATTCCCCACATGCATCAAAAATCTCTTCAACAGATCCATCGGGATAACCTATGTAGATTCCGTAACCTGCTTTAATGGTAGCTTTAAATGCTGATCCATCAGTATAGACATGTATCCATTCTTGGGGGTAAGAATCAACGGTCTTTAGTGATGAGTTCATAAGAGCGATTGGGTCGGACTGTTTGGTTTCCTCGCCTACCAATTTAGTTTGGACTTCTGGAGCTTTAAAGCGAGCATGTGGTGGTAGGTTTTTTGCAACATTCTGAATTCCTTGACGTCTTTCTGGGAGGTGGTATCTGTCCTGAATTTCATTAACACAGTGTAAAACCGATTTGTGCTTTATTCTTTGTTTGGGTTCCCAGTTTTCTACAAGATGTCTATTAGGATGGTTACGATTTTTCCTAACGCATCTTTCATAAATTTCTAAAGTGGCTTTTTCTCTCCGCAACCCGAGGGGTTCCACATTTGTATAAATTTCACATGCAGCAGTTGGTGTAGACTGCATAGCTCCGCAGATTAATTGGAGGGCATTATTTTGTACTCTGTCAAGAGTCTCTAGGTTAGTTTTGGAACAAGTTGTAAGCAGTGAGTTGTTGTACTCTATCACAGAGCGAACATATCCTAGGTATAAGCCCCTCAGAGTTTCCTTGTCTGATCCCCATGATGTACCTGCAAGTCTCTTTAATAACTGTAACCGCCTCAATGCCTTATTCCTGATGTTTTCAATATGGTTCTTGAGGCTGAGCTGCGGGTCAAGTGTGACTCCAAGGTATGTGGGATGCTCTTCTTTCATCACTTGGTGTTTGTCTAACCTCAGGTTAATATTCTTCCTTGCTACTTGGTGGCTTTTGGTAAAGATTGTGTAGACCGTCTTTGCACAGTTAATTTTGAGTTTCCATCTTTGGCAGTAATCATGCAGTCTTCTAAGGTCTCCATTCAGTCTTTGGGCTCCACTTTCCACATTTTCATGACTCTGCCATATTGCTAGGTCATCAGCGTACAAGGCTTTTTCGGCCTTGATTTGTTCTGGCAGGTCATTGATAAAGATTAGGAATAGTGTACAGCTCAATGATGAGCCTTGTGGCAAGCCCTCCTCCAAGACTTCTTTAGAAGAGATTGCGTTGTGCATCTTAGTCTGGATTGTTCTATCTATCAGGAAGTATTTCACCCAGTTATACAATCTGCCATGTATTCCTATGCTCATCATCTTCATCAGGAGACCTTTTCTCCATACTCTGTCATAGGCCTGCTGGAGATCGACAAAGACTGCCACTGTGTGTTTCTTATTCTGGAAGCCATCATGTATTCTTTGTGTCAGTCTGAACAGCTGGTCTTCTGTGCAGCTGTTGGTTCTGAAGCCTGCCTGTTCATGGCATAGAACACCAGAACTCTCAAGGAACCAATATAAGCGCCTGTTTATCATTCTTTCTGCAACTTTGCCCAAGCATGATGTTAAGGATATCGGGCGGTAGCTTTTGGGGTCATCTGGAGGCTTTTTGGTTTTAAGGATGGGGACGATATATGCATTCCTCCATGCCCTTGGAAGTTTGCTTGACCTCCAAGTTTTATTAATAAGCCTGAGAACTACTTCTCTCCCAGACCGGCCAAGTTGTAGCAGCATTTCGTTGTGGATCTTATCTGGGCCTGGAGATTTTCTAGGTTTTAATTTCTTCAGGGCTTGCTCTAGTTCATCCATGCTAAATTCGTTTTCAAAAAGGGAGTCGCTGGCTGTTGGAGCTCTCTCTTGTTTCTTCAACTGAGAGAGCTGTGTTCTATTGAGTTCTGACAGCTTACCTGCTCTGTTAACTGAGGCAAAATAATGATTGAAATGTTCTGCTTTCTTCTTGTCTTCAGTGATTGTCTTACTCCCATCTGTCACTGGTTTTGGGTTCACCCTTCTACTTTCTCCGGAGAGGTTTTTAACTAAAGTCCATGCTTTATTTCCATTCTGTCTAAGGTCTAAGTTGGAGCAAGTTTCTGTCCATTTATCTCTTTTAGCCTTATTAACTACAAGCTTTACTCTGGCACATGCTTTATTGTATTGGATCTTTGCTTCTGTTGAACGTGCAGTTTCGAGAAATATTCTTGCTTTATTCCTTTCAGATATAGTATTTTGAATTTCTTGATTCCAAAAAGGTTTATATGCTATCCGGCTGCCCCTTGGGATGGCTTTCGACGCTGCATTCAGGATTGCTTGTGTTATGTCTTCACAAAAAGTTTCCACACAGCTGTTGTCAATTCTTCCCAGGAGGCAGTCAGATGTTTCCTGAAATAGTTTCCAGTTTGCTTTTCGGAAATTCCAACGGGTTCTCTGCTTGAAGCGTAATTTAGGGGTGGTGCTTACAGTTGTGAGTATAGGTTTGTGGTCACTTCCTATGTCGTCCAGGACTTGGGGATAGCTTGCGTCTGCTAAGTCGGATGAGCAGATGGTCAGGTCTGGTCTGCTGAGAGATAGGTGGGCCCTGTGTAACAGTGTAGGTGTAGACTCTGTGTCCTGCAGCACTAATAGGTTAGTTGTTTCACAAGTATCTTCGAGAAATGATTTAATACACATTACATGTGATAGTGAGAAATGATTTAATACACATTACATGTGATAGTGAGAAATGGTTTAATACACATTACATGTGATAGTGAGAAATGGTTTAATACACATTACATGTGATAGTGAGAAGTGATTAGATACACATTACATGTGATAGTGAGAAATGGTTTAATACACATTACATGTGATAGTGAGAAGTGATTAGATACACATTACATGTGATAGTGAGAAATGATTTAATACACATTACATGTGATAGTGAGAAATGATTTAATACACATTACATGTGATAGTGAGAAATGGTTTAATACACATTACATGTGATAGTGAGAAGTGATTAGATACATATTGGTATGGGATTTTTGCAAAATTACTAAATCCTCTGGTAGGGAAAACTGAGAAAGTGTTTGATAAAGTGTATGTGACAATAAGAAGGACTCAAATTGTTGCTGAACAACAGTGAACAATCAATACAGCTAATGTGACTACAGGCAGCTTATGCCCCCACACAAGTCATCTGATTCAACTTCAAAGTCTCCTACATGGAATTCTGTATGTACATGTGTGGTGCTTTGTGTGTACATATCTGGTAGTCTGTGTGTACATGTCTGGTGGTCTGTGTGTACATGTGTGGTGCTTTGTGTGTACATATCTGGTAGTCTGTGTGTACATGTCTGGTGGTCTGTGTGTACATGTCTGGTGGTCTGTGTGTACATGTCTGGTGGTCTGTGTGTACATGTGTGATGGTCTGTGTGTACATGTGTGGTGGTCTGTGTGTACATATGTGGTGGTGTGTGTGTACATGTCTGGTGGTCTGTGTGTACATGACTGGTGGTCTGTGTGTACATGACTGGTGGTCTGTGTGTACACGTCTGGCCATGAGAAATTTAGTTTTTATTTTGTAATATTCAACACATGCGACACAACAATCTTACAAACACGGACATACTTGGGCAAGTACGGCGACACAACAATCTTACAAACACGGACATACTTGGGCAAGTACGGCGGTGGTGTCCTGCGATACTTCCCAAAAGGTGGATGCTGAGATTTCTTGGTGAAAGTTGTCTTAGAGGTCACAGGTGCTGTGCTTACAGTAGGACTGAGGTTTGGCTTCCGTCGCCTGCCTGACGAGAGATCCTGACGCAGCTGCACCAGCCTGAAACCAACAGAAGAGAACCAGTGTTTTCTCCTGGCATGTCACATGACATGCACTAACATGGGCATTCACTGAAGACAATTACTTAACGTCTGCGTTAGAATCCACCATAAATGTGAACTAAAACACACACTCTAACACCCTGATAGACAGACATCTAGTCATGCAGGAAACATTTACACATTTATATAAGACTACTCTGCAGTCTGCCACAAGTTTAAACAGTCTACCATCATTATATACAGACATCTATATTAGTCTACCAACATTAAAAACAGACATCTACATGGCACTGCCACAAGTTTAAACAGTCTATTAACATTAAATACAGACATCCAAATTGCAGTCTGCCACAAGTTTAAACAGTCTGCCTACATTAAATACAGACTTCTACATTGCAGTCTGCCACAAGTTTAAACAGTCTAATAACATTAAATACAGACTTCTACATTGCAGTCTGCCACAAGTTTAAACAGTCTAATAACATTAAATACAGACTTCTACATTGCAGTCTGCCACAAGTTTAAACAGTCTAATAACATTAAATACAGACTTCTACATTGCAGTCTGCCACAAGTTTAAACAGTCTATTAACATTAAATACAGACATCCAAATTGCAGTCTGCCACAAGTTTAAACAGTCTGCCTACATTAAATACAGACATCTATATTGCAGTTTGCCACAAGTTTAAACAGTCTACCATCATTATATACAGACATCTACTTTACTTTCTGCCACAAGTTTAAACACCATTTGTTGTACTCTGCCCTTCTAGTAACTACATTACACAGATACAACTGTAACTGCGCCAGAATCAAGTTGAATGCAGACAGTACATGTTCTGATGCTATCTCCACCAGTGTCACAGACAGTAGGTATACAACTATTAGTGAACTGTACTGAAACAAAAACAAGGGTGAGACATACAGTACATGTTCTGGTGTTGTCTCCACCAGACAGTAAGGATACAACTATAAGTGAACTGTACTGAAACAAAAACAAGGGTGAGACATACAGTACATGTTCTGGTGTTGTCTCCACCAGTGTCACAGACAGTAGGGATACAACTATTAGTGAACTGTACTGAAACAAAAACAAGTGTGAGACATACAGTACATGTTCTGGTGTTGTCTCTACCAGACAGTAAGGATACAACTATTAGTGAACTGTACTGAAACAAAAACAAGGGTGAGACATACAGTACATGTTCTGGTGTTGTCTCCACCAGTGTCACAGACAGTAGGGATACAACTATTAGTGAACTGTACTGAAACAAAAACAAGGGTGAGACATACAGTACATGTTCTGGTGTTGTCTCCACCAGACAGTAAGGATACAACTATTAGTGAACTGTACTGAAACAAAAACAAGGGTGAGACATACAGTACATGTTCTGGTGTTGTCTCCACCAGTGTCACAGACAGTAGGGATACAACTATTAGTGTACTGTACTGAAACAATAACAAATGTGAGACATACAGTACATGTTCTGATGCTATCTCCACCAGACAGTATAAATAAAATTATAAGTGAACTGTACTGAAACAGTAACAAATATGAGACATACAGTACATGCTCTGGTGTTCTCTCCACCAGTGTCACAGACAGTATGGATAAAACTATAAGTGAACTGTACTGAAACAGTAACAAGTATGAGACATACAGTACATGCTCTGGTGTTGTCTACACCAGACAGTATGGATAAAACTATTAGTGAGCTGTACTGAAACAATAACAAATGTGAGACATACAGTACATGTTCTGGTGTTGTCTACACTAGACAGTAAGGATACAACTATAAGTGAACTGTACTGAAACAAAAACAAGGGTTAGACATACAGTACATGTTCTGGTGTTGTTTACACCAGACAGTAAGGATAAAACTATTAGTGAGCTGTACTGAAACAATAACAAATGTGAGATGTACAGTACATGTTCTGGTGTTGTCTACACCAGTGTCACAGACAGTATGGATAAAATTATAAGTGAACTGTACTGAAACAATAACAAATGTGAGACATACAGTACATGTTCTGGTGTTGTCTCCACCAGTGTCACAGACAGTATGGATACAACTATTAGTGAACTGTACTGAAACAAAAACAAGGGTGAGACATACAGTACATGCTCTGGTGTTGTCTCCACCAGTGTCACAGACAGTATGGATACAACTATTAGTGAACTGTACTGAAACAATAACAAGTGTGAGACATACAGTACATGTTCTGGTGTTGTCTCCACCAGTGTCACAGACAGTAAGGATACAACTATTAGTGAACTGTACTGAAACAAAAACAAATGTGAGACATACAGTACATGTTCTGTAGCTGTTTTACACCAACACCACACACAGCCCGGATACAACTGTAACTGTAGCAGAAACAAGTATATGTAAGACAGGTAGTTAGGTAAGTTGGCTCTCCTCCGAAGGGCATCATAATATTATGGTGGCCATAAAATATTCTAAAATATCCGAATGGGGCTCAGTTCTATTAAAAATATGCCGGCTCCTTAAAATGAAACAAATGTTCTAACAGGGTCTCAGCAATATATTACTTGCGGACCTGTTTCTGTGACTGTGCCTTGCCGCCGACTGTATCCCCCGCCCCGTGTGTAGTGCGGGGGGCTAAACGATGGGGGTTAAACTAGATGGTTGGAACTCATGAGCAGTAGCTACCGCATCTCCTGCAACTTCTTACAACTAATTTGCTTGTGAGTCCCAGGCACCTAGTTTAGCCCCCCATCCGCGCCTCGCGTAGCAGCACGGGGGATACGCTCGGCGGTAAGTTTAATCACATTTTGCGCATGCCAAAATGTGTGGGGTTACAAGTCGGCAGGTCTGACATCTACCGCTGCTAAATCCTCAATCGGACGAACAGTATTGCTAATCTGCGTGGGAGCGCGTGGTCTACCCGCCAAATCGCTTTCATCCTCTGTAATGTCTCGAAATAGTCAACGGTCGCTATTATCGTCTGCTAGTTTCGTCTGCAGAAAAACTCGAAATTTTCAACGGTCGGTATTTATTGTCTGCTTCTACCGTGTGCAATGTTGATATTGTCAAGTAATCCTAGTTTTGCCGTGATTTGTTCCTTGGCAGAAAGTCTGTATTTTAGATATGCCTGAACACCGTTCGGATATTTTTGGACATTTTATGGCTGCCATATTATGATGCCATTCGGAGGAGAGCCGGTAAGTTGTACCCCACTAGGACATCACACAAGCTATAAATACCCGTTGACACAAAGTGCTATGCGGATGAAGATAGCCAGTGTACAGGTCCTTGAAACCCTGTTTCGCCATTAGGCCAACTTTAAGGCCTGTCAATATTTAGGGTCCCTGTCAGAAGCCAGGGTGGGTCTTCAAAATAACTAAAAATTGCAACCCACATGGGGACGACAGTGTGTTTAGTTAGCTCATTAAGGTAAGACAGACAGTACATGTTCTGAAGCTAATTCCACTAGTGTAACACACAGTATAGATACAACTGTAAGTGAACTGTACAAGGTGCAAATGTAAGACAGACAGTACGTGTTCTGATGTTGTTTCCACTAGTGTAACACACAGTATAGATATAACTGTAAGTGAACTGTACAAGGTGCAAATGTAAGACAGACAGTACGTGTTCTGATGTTGTTTCCACTAGTGTAACATACAGTATAGATACAACTGTACAAGAAGCACATGTAAGACAGACAGTACGTGTTCTGATGCTGTTTCCACTAGTGTAACATACAGTATAGATACAACTGTACAAGAAGCACATGTAAGACAGACAGTACGTATTCTGATGCTGTTTCCACTAGTGTAACACACAGTATAGATACAACTGTACAAGAAGCACATGTAAGACAGACAGTACGTGTTCTGATGCTGTTTCCAGAAAGATTCCCTCTGAACGTCCACAGTTTCTCCAGTCATCTTGGTCGCCAGCCAGTCGCCGCCATGTTGTTTACCTTATCGACGGAGACGAGTAGATTGGGAGTAGTGGTCCCTGTTTTGACTGATTTACTTCCCCTGTACAGACTGTTAAAAACTACAATCATCATCATCATCATCATCATCATGAAACAAATCAGCGACGAGTGTGGCCCATTGGGTCGATCTTATTTGATCTTATCAGCACTCTAGGAGTCCTTTTCAAGGCTTTTGGTGGCGAACAATGCTAGGGCATTTTATGTGGCTCACACAACCTAGTCACAATTATAACCTAAAGCTCCCCCGATCAGGGACGTTGGTTGAACGTGACGAATGTTGTTTTTTCCCCAACGAAGCACCTACCTACATGAAACAGTCAGTACCTTTACAGAGAGGCTGACCAGACGTATCGTTTTCACGGGGACATACCCGTTTTATTAGGTGTGCCCTGGTTGTCCTGTCCCGCCAGGGGTCCTGTTTTATAAACATCGAGGCATCAGTTCTTAAAATATATGAGTTCTTTTTTAATAATTATAAATTAAAAAGCGATACAACTGGCGGCCAGCAGGCGGAATCTGGCACGCAGAGGGATAGCAAGTGGTCCGCATCTCATCGCCAGTTGTATTAGATTTGTGATTGTTTTAAGCTGATGTAGACCCTGAGTGAACAAATAGCCCTGACATGTTTAAACATATCTTTCGCTTGGATAGAGCCCCAAGATTGGAAAGAACAGTGGTATTTTGTTTGGGAACATTAAGATCAGATCCAGTACCCATTTGCACAGGCCTTCTCCAGAGCTCACCACTGTTACCTGTCTTGTTTAACATTTATACAGCAAGTCTGGCAAGAATGCAGCACACTGGACCACGGCGAACTTTGACCTCTGCAGATATGGTGTGGTAATGGAACAGTGCTAGGTTGTGTAAGAGCTATTTATAGAAAAAGTGAAAGCGCTGTCAGAACAAGGGCTGGCCTCACAGACTGATGATGTCAAGTGGTATGTCTAAACGCTGATGATGTCAGGTAATAGATCTAAACGCTGATGATGTCAGGTGGTAGGTCTAAACGCTGATGATGTCATGTGATAGGTCCAAACGCTGATGATGTCAAGTGGTAGATCTAAACGCTGATGATGTCAGGTGGTAGATCTAAACGCTGATGATGTCAGGTGGTGGGTCTAAACGCTGATGATGTCAAGTGATAGGTCTAAACGCTGATGATGTCAGGTAATAGATCTAAACGCTGATGATGTCAGGTAATAGATCTAAACGCTGATGATGTCAGGTGGTAGGTATAAACGCTGATGATGTCAGGTGGTAGATCTAAACGCTGATGATGTCAGGTAATAGATCTAAACGCTGATGATGTCAGGTAATAGATCTAAATGCTGATGATGTCAGGTAATAGATCTAAACGCTGATGATGTCAGGTAATAGATCTAAACGCTGATGATGTCAGGTAATAGATCTAAACGCTGATGATGTCAGGTAATAGATCTAAACGCTGATGATGTCAGGTGGTAGGTATAAACGCTGATGATGTCAGGTGATAGATCTAAACGCTGATGATGTCAGGTAATAGATTTAAACGCTGATGATGTCAGGTAATAGATCTAAACGCTGATGATGTCAGGTGGTAGGTATAAACGCTGATGATGTCAGGTAATAGATCTAAACGCTGATGATGTCAGGTAATAGATCTAAACGCTGATGATGTCAGGTAATAGATCTAAACGCTAATGATGTCAGGTGGTAGGTATAAACGCTGATGATGTCAGGTGATAGATCTAAACGCTGATGATGTCAGGTGATAGATCTAAACGCTGATGATGTCAGGTGATAGGTCTAAACGCTGATGATGTCAGTTGATAGATCTAAACGCTGATGGTGTCAGGTGATAGATCTAAACGCTGATGATGTCAGGTGGTAGGTCTAAACGCTGATGATGTCAGGTAATAGGTTCAAACGCTGATGATGTCAGATTATAGCTCTAAAGTCTACGCTGACGATGTTAGATTATAGCTCTAAAGTCTACGCTGACGATGTTAGATTATAGCTCTAAAGTCTACGCTGACGATGTCAGATTATAGCTCAAAGTCTACGCTGATGATGTCAGGTAACAGGTCTAAAGTCTACGCTGATGATGTCATGTGATGTCTAAATTCTACGCTTATAATGTCATATGAAAGGGATAAAGTCTGCGCTGATGATGTCACGTGAAAGGGCTAAAGTCTGCGCTGATGATGTCACGTGAAAGGGCTAAAGACAGAAGATGATTTTAGTTGACAGGTTTAAAGTCAGAAGTTGATTTCAGGGGATAGGTTTAACGTCAGAAGTTGATTTTAGGTGATTGGGTAAAGTCAGGAGTAGATTGTAGATGATAGATTCAAAGTCAGAAGTTGATTTTAGGTGATATGTTTAAAGTCAGAAGTTGATTTTAGGTGATATGTTTAAAGTCAGAAGTTGATTTTAGGTAGTAGGTTTAAAGTCAGAAGTTGATTTTAGGTGGTAGGTTTAAAGTCAGAAGTTAGTGAGGTCAGGTGATAAGTTTGAAGTCAAAAGATGGTGAGGTCAGGTGATAAAAGTCAGAAGTCGATGATAACAGGTGAACAGTGTCAAGTCAGACGTTGATGATAGCAGATGAATTTTTCGTGACAGAAGTTGATGATGAAAGGAGGATAGTTTCAAGTCAAAACTTGATTATGAAAGGAGGATAGTTTCAGGTTACAAGTTGATGATGAAAGGAGGATAGTTTCAAGTCAAAACTTGATGATGAAAGGAGTATAGTTTCAGGTTACAAGTTGATGATGAACGGAGGATAGTTTCAAGTCAAAACTTGACGATGGCAGATGAAATTTTATGACAGAAGTTGATAGGGACAGGAGGATAGTTTCAAGGCAGAAGTTGATAGGGACAGGAGGTAGGTTTCAAGACAGAAGTTGATAGGGACAGGAGGTAGGTTTCAAGGCAGAAGTTGATAGGGACAGGAGGTAGGTTTCAAGTCAGAAGTTGATAGGGACAGGAGGTAGGTTTCAAGGCAGAAGTTGATGATGAATAGTGAAGGTTTCATCAGAAATTGATGATGACAAAGAAAAGGTATAAAGTCACACGTTGGAGCAGCAGAAAACCACAGGGACTCTTTAGATATGATATAACGATACGTATTTCAAACCCTTGGTTAGAGTTCTAACAGCCGACACTAGCAAACACTTCAGCCTCCACCAGATGGCTCTGCTCCATCTCTGACCTTCAAGGGTCAAGGGTATGGTCATGTTTATTTTAGCTCACCTGAGAGTTTCTGAACAACAATATTCTCCAGATTTGGCGAAACTGTTTTTATGTCACCTACAATTAGAACCAGTCATCTCACCAGAAAGATAATGGTGGTGATGGCGGTAACAACGACAATGATGTTGCCACACACACACACACACACACACACACACACACACACACACAAACACTAGAACGTGTTATGGCAAAAACAAAACAACAAAGGGTCGTCTTCACAAAATCTCAAGCTAACGACATCACTGGTTGGATGTTTGTATTTTTAGCTGGCAATTTCACGATTAGTAGTTTGTCATTGCTCTCTGAACGGTAATGCGCTCAAACCATTTTCCAAAACAACTGGACAGATTTCTGACAGAAAGGCAAAACGGGAAAGGCAACAAATCTTTTGATAGCGTTTTAACGAGGCCAGAAACAATATCAGAATGCATATGGACACAGGTTATTAGGGACTGAAAGTTATAGAGAAGCATGTTTGCTGCCTTCAGGGGAAAGGAACCTGATAAACGATGACGATGATGGTGGTAATGATGATGACAATATGTGGACAAAATGTAGAAACTTCATTTTCTTCATATTACCATTGTGGTTGTTTATTTTTGAAGATAAACAGCACATAGCACCATGACACGTGACATCCTGGATTAGCGGATCTGCCATCTCCGGAAGTCGAGACACACACAGAAATAAACTTCTGGAAGAAATATGCAGCCTTGAATCATCCAGATTAACAACATGAGTTTAACAAATAAGTATCCATTTTAACAATATAACGTTTAAGGCTAACAACGCCCGGCTCGCTAGCGCAGTTGGCTAAACAGGCTGAGTGGCGACTGGGTGACAAAGTCCTGGTGGTCCGGATTCGCTCCCGGGTGTAGGCAGAAAAGCCACATATTTCCCAGATTTACGGTTAAAATCATGAAATCCAGGCAAGAGGGTTGCGATACCCCTAGTGCCTAGCCAACGGGCTTACAAATCATGGTTTCTGGATCTAAGAAGGGGGGGGAGGCTAACAACTTATGCGCCTAGTTAAACGATATATGCACATGTTAAACGACAAATGCACCTAGTTAAACGACATATGCGCATGTTAAACGACAAATGCACCTAGTTAAACGACATATGCGCATGTTAAACGACAAATGCACCTAGTTAAACGACATATGCACATGTTAAACGACATATGAACCTAGTTAAACGACATATGCACCTAGTTAAACGACATATGCACCTAGTTAAACGACATATGCACCTAGTTAAACTACATATGCACATGTTAAACGACATATGCACCTAGTTAAACGACATATGCACATGTTAAACGACATATGAACCTAGTTAAACGACATATGCACCTAGTTAAACGACATATGCACCTAGTTAAACGACATATGCACCTAGTTAAACGACATATGCACATGTTAAACGACAAATGCACCTAGTTAAACGACATAACTTCCATGTGTAGGAGCATCGCTATCCAGTTTAATAACTTAACTGCCACTCTCACAAAACAACTAGCTAGTTTAACCAAACAGTTTACCACGTTAACAATATAACGATCCACTAAAACTATCTAGTTTAACAACAACTATCTAGAGTAACAACGAGCTACCCAGTTTAACATAACAACTATCCAGTTCATCCACATGCCTATCCATATTAACAACATAACAACTCAGTAAAGCAACAAAATTACCCAGATCAACGTCA